AATGTACGATCGGAAATATGGTGAATTAGGCGAGGCTGCAACTGCATCGTCACGACTAAATTCATTTCACTGATCTGCAAGCATGTAGAAGGAGCATAGAATAGCCAATCTAATCAAGAAATGCTCCTATTAAAAGTTGGTTTTTGAGAATACCTTTACAAAATTGTGATATGCGGAATGTGTGGACTTCCTTGAAATTCTCTTCAACACTCGTGGCAGTCTCGTGTTGTGGGCACTTGTCGAGATTATACGCTGCACCAGCACAAATGGGCTCGGATCCCGCTGGGGGTGATGATGAGACCAGTTCATGTGAGGTGAAAACTGTTCTCACCTCCAACCGGAATGGAAATAACTGTCGAGAAGCAGGGCAATGTGAGATTCAATAGGAAGGTATGGCCTACTCACATGCATGTGGGCAAATTCAACTACCAGCCCTCTTCACTTGATGCAAAGTATAGTGGATACAGCTCTAATATAAAAATATTGAAATGCACTTTTGAAGGAACAAAGTCAAGTCATATGAGGTAGGTAGGATTATAGTCGGCAGACTCTGTTGTCTTGCTGCTCGGCGACTTACCGTTCGGTTCTGACGATGTCTCTTGCATGACGAACGAAGGCTCAACAAGTAGTCTGCGGGCTCGTGGGAAGCTGAGTAAAAAGATTTAGTTTGCAGTAACAACTGCAAGACAATCGCCGTTCGGATTTCGGGAAGGCCAATTTAAGAAATCCTTCTACTCGTCTCCTCAAAGGACATACAAGTTACGAGAACATCAAATATCCTCGGTGCAACTTGTGAAAAGTATGCTTTGGAGTTGGAAATGGCTCCTCATCAAAGTGCAAATGGACAGTTGAGTAGAAAAGAAATAAAAGTGATGCAACTATGCAGAGATTGAGCATTGTACTGAATTGAGAGTGGCGGATCATTCATTCCTATATCATTTCATATCAACTATACTCATCTCATATCACTTCATCTTTATTCGGCGGCATATTTGAACGTCTTCTCGTTTTTTCCAACAATTTGTAGGTTCAACTCGTAGTGAATTGCATTTTTTGTTATGTATGCTTCTTGCTATTAAAGTTTGCCCTAATTTTCTCTTCTCGAGTCGTCTTTGGGCCAAATTCAGTCCCATCTCTACCGGCATTAACATTGTCTTTGATCATCACACTCAATCATCTTATCTGTCCTCACGACGTCATCGAATTCGATTTATCCTTTTCCCTATCTACATGCTTTTCTTATCTCGACTGCACTGGACTTAATTAAATTGTCGGTTGGTCGTTTCGCGAACTTTCTTTAAATTGTTTTTAAAGCTGAATCTCCTCTTGGCAAGTAAAGTCGACTTTTTGTAACAGACAGTAGTCAAAACCCCGCCAACCTGACCATAACCGGTGTCAGAACATCGGCACGGCATCTGCTCACAATTATCAGAATAACCCTAATCCCTCTCCCATCCACTAGAATGTGTGTGGATTCCATTGCACATTTGGCCAGTTGAGAATGACCTAAAATACAAAATTACGACTCTTTAAAACAACATTCTTGGGGAGGCTTTCAATGTGTATGACATTCTTGCAAATACTACTAATGCTGTTTTTTTCTTCGTGTCTGAGAGAGATTGCACCCAATTCTGCTTCCAATCTGGATTTTGCCAACAATCTGGGTTTATGTGTGTCTGTATGTGTGCGTATGTGTTAATATGCTTGCCTAAGTGTGTATTTTGGTTGTGGAGACTTTCATTTCTCATCAAAGTGCCAGACAAATTGATTTGTAGGCCTATCTCACCAGATGACGACACAAACAAACTCAAATATAAGTAAGCTGATTAATATAAAAGCGAACTGACAAAATCATTTTATATACATAAATTTTCATTTACTTTCATGGGTGCTTATGGCATGTAGGATAGAGATGTATTCACCCTATTTCATCTAAGGTGATCAAGGACTGGTAGTATAATTTACCCACAATGATATGGGTTGAGCTGACGTTATCTTTGCATTTCCCATTGCCTTGGTTTCCCAAAAGTTGTTCTTATCCAGGCACCAGTGGACTGCAGTTTCAGAAAGCAAGGCTATGTGAAATTCAATGGAAATGTCAGCTCAACTCATATCATTGTGGGAAAATTCTACTACTCATCACCTTACACGAAATAGGGTGAATACATCTCATTACACTGATTTACTGGTAGTCTCGAAACTCTACTTATCACCTTAAAAGAAATAGGATGAATACATCTCATATTACTGATTTACTGGCAGTTTTGAAACTCTACTCTAATACGAAAATATGTAGGATAGAGCCGGATGTTCTACTTGGAGATTAAGCAACAATGAGTCCCTGCCCAGATTTCCGTAAAGTTGCATTGCGATCGGAAGCTTAGTCCATTTTCACTCGAAACGAGGGAGCATGTCTCACGGATTGCGTCAAACTGAGACGTCTACAGAACAACGGCAATCAGCCGTCGTCTTCTGGTGAGATCGACCTACGAATGCATTTGTTATGCACATTCATGCATTCATTCTTCACAAAAAAATTGCATGCTTGCGCACACTACACAAACACATACATGTATATATATATAAATAAAAATAAATAAAAATAAATAAATAAATAAATAAATAAATAAATAAATAAATAAATAAATAAATAAATAAAT